GAAGGTTAACTCCAAATGTTTACATTGATTTGTTTCTATCACTAAGACTACATCCAATTCTTGATCCAACTAGATTAAGTCCACTAAAATAGTTTTGTTTACAAGCATAAATATTCTTTGAACAAGCCACTTGTGGCTCACCTAAGCAAAATCCATGTATTGTTCAACACAAAGTCACTCCTTACTTCAAACCCAAGTATTCTTTACAAACAAAGTCTCTTTAAGCTTCCAAGAAAAAAAAGGCAAGAAAGTATACAAAGACTTCTCCTTCTCTTAAAGATAGATATTATAAAGTTAAGTTTAAGGGAAAAATTTAAGATAGAAAACAAATATGGATCACAAGTTTGTTGTACTATCTTGAGAGCCCTTTGCTAAATATAATCTTGAGGAAAAAATGATTGTTGGAGCTCCAATGTTTCTTTTCTTCTTCACCTTCAATCATGTACAGATGCATTTCATTTTTAGATCTCTGTTTTGAATATATCTATTTGAACACTCAATTGCAACATCTAATGCACTTCTTTATTACGTCTTATCCTATTTGGTAGGACAGTATGCTTATATCATTAATCTTACTTGAAAAAGACTTTCTTTAGAGGTTTTGATGGCTTGAAGACACCTTTTACAGAGAAGTCAAAATAGGTGTAACTTTTGTATATTTGAGTTGGTGAAGTTTCCTTCAATAATGAGATAGTCTCCCTCTTATCTACTTTGTTGATCTTAAAGATGCTATAAGTCGTGATAAACAACTAATAACAATTTGACAAAGGCAACATCAGTTCATTAAATACACATTTAGATGACCCCCTTTAGATGACATACTATCTTGAAGATGATTCAAACACAAACCACATTATTATCAAAACATCCTTACGTTAGATTGGTACGGGTTTATTCTTTTAAAAAATATATCATATAAGGTATGATATTTAAATACTATTAAGTGAGAACTTATAGAGTTACATGCATAGAGTAATACCTGAAGCAAGTCATTAAATTAAATGTGATTTAATTAAATGATTAATTAATTAAATATAAATTAATTGACAATAACTTCAATTAAATTGAACAAGTTATTTGACTTCAACTATATAAACCCAACAAGGAGACATATTAGGTTAACAATAGTCTATCAAAGAACATATTAACCTAACCATGCCATTTAAGAAACCTAGAGAGAAATTCTTAGTTTTGGTCGTTTTACAAAACTTACTCATGTCTTCCCTCTACCAAACCATCATACACTTTGGTGTTTAGTGATCAAATTAAGGAAGCTCTTGATCCTTCAACCAAGGAGAGGTCATTCAAATAAAATAATAAAGAACGCTCAAAAGGTAAAAACCCAAAACTTTTAGTGTAATTCTTGTGTAATGTATAACTTATGGGAAATGGGTTATTTTGTTCATGTATTCTATTATATTAAAAGACAATCTTGGATCCCTTATGGTATTGATTTTAATACTAATAAACTTAGACATTTTTATTAAGAAAATTCTTTTTAGATCATATTATAAGACAAATTAGAAAAGACAATTGATTATAATGACATGCAATTTTTCAAACAAACCAATTCATTTGTATAAGACAAATGCTTTTAATATATCATTTATGATATCTAATAACCAAATCATCTTCGTTTATGTTATTTCTTAACAAATTAAAGGAATAAAATTCTTTGATACTTGAACTTTCAAAAAATAACGGAGACATGTTTTCATCAAAGAAATGATAAGAAAATCTCTTGAAGTGTGCAAAATCTAAGATAAAGACAGTTATGTCTGACACACAACATTTCCTTCTATTTTGTATTTTAAAGGTGATAACTTTGCTACTTAGAATTTCTCACATGAGACTCAATTTAATTTTAGACATAAGAAAAAAGGCCCAATGAATTTAGCTATGAGACCCTTACTACACTAAACTTGCCCAACAAAAAATTATTTTGCCTAGTGAATTTGTTGTAGAACCTTGAATGAGTTTGGAGTATTGTTAAAAAAATACAAAGGACCAAAAGAACAAAAGAAAAGAAATGCAAAGCAAAAAAGAAAAAGAATAGAAAAAGAAAAGGTGAAGGTCCAATGCAAAAGAAAAAGAAATTTTAGTGAAAGTTCCAACTCACATTGAGTGAAAGATTTACTACACCTTTAATTGTTGTTTGTTTGTATTGTGAAATATGAACTACATTGATTGCACATTTGCACTCATTATTCATTCTTGAGTGTTGTCTCATTGCTATTCCATGTGAGTAGTACTTAATTTTAAGATTTGTTGATTGTTTTCTTAAAATTTCTATATAGTTTTGTCTTTGAGTTTTCAATCTTTCTTTGACCACTTGAGTTGATTTTAGATTTCGTTATGTTTTCACAAGGGTTATCTCTCTCTTTAAGCAATTTGAAGTACTTTCCTAAGAGCTAAAGAGGAGATAGAGTGGAAAAAGGCAAGAGAGAAAATTCGAGAAAGAGCCTCTCAGTGTGATACACGAATGTTGAGTATATAAAGGGTTGTGTAAATGGTTACCATTAATGCATTATATATTATTTTTATGCTAACCATTTATTTAATTGTGATGAATCTTTTGTCAAGGAATTTGAAGAAGTGCTTCCAGAAAGGGAAAATAAAACTTTATATTCTAATTCCTTATTTTAAATAAGTGTTTCTATGGTGGAAGGAGTTGAAGAAGAAACCTCAAAGGAGGAACACAACACCCTAGTTCCTTGTAATTGTGTTGATGGTTTTTCTTGTAGTTTTGATTGTACATCTAATTACATAAATCCTTTTGTTTTGATGCCCAGGGAAGAGTTGTATATAAGAAAACAATGGGAAAATCAATTTGGAGAAGAAGTGGATGCATATGAGGAACAAATACATGATTTTGAGAAAAATATTTTGATTCATACTTGTTCTAAACTTTTGGTTTGCTTGACGTATTGATTTATAAAGTATTTGATGTGCATGTCGCCTATGATTTGCATGACTTGGTTTTAGGCAATGAAACAAAGTTTTGGAATATTGGAAACATCAATTTGGATTGCATGGATATAATGAGTCTTCTTCAATGTGTGTTGTTCATTATGGAAACACGATGAATCATGAGTTCAATAGACATAAGGAGCATACGTTTAAAAATATTAATTTCGTCTGTCTAAGTCTCTTTGGTATGATTCTTTAAGTGGAAAAACTCATGTTAAGAGTTTACTGATGCATGGGTCTTTTTCTGAGAATGACATGAGATGTGAAGTGTTTAAATTTAGTGAGACATGAATGATGAAAATAATTGAAAATTTTGAATTTGTAGTATTGCCCATTCTTAAATTCATAGAAAGGAGTTTCATTTTAATGAAGTTTGATGATTTGTTTGGACTTGTGTTTGATCCGAGAAGATGGTTGACTATCTACTACATTGTGCTTGTAATTGATCTAGGAGGTTGGATAAACAAGTACATGAATAAAAGAGATTTATCCTTCCATAAAGGTTCAAGTATTCATAAAAGTAGGAATAAAAAAGTTAAATTCAAGGTGAATTTCTTTTAAGAATGAGAGGATGATATGATCTTGGAATGGCTAACCAGGGAAGAACTTAAAGATCATTTTTGGATTACCTATGATGACCTTGGGGGCTAGGAAAGGAGGATCAACCATTTGATTGCATGAAGAAATGCAACCAACATTTAGAATACATTTTGAATTTTATAAAAACCTTGTTTTGGGCTCTGTTTAAATTTTTTCAATCCATGCATTCTTGGCCTAGTGAAATTTGAGCTTATAAATATTTATTTGGGGTCTACATAAATTTCACCTAACCACAAATTCATGGCCTAGCAAAATTTTGTATTTTTGAACCTTGTTTTAGTTTGGTGCAAATTTTTCCCAACCACATATTTTTGTCCTAGCAAAATTCGAACAAGTGGACCTTGTTTTGGTTTTGGCCAACCAGGTTTTCTCATCCCAACAAATTTGTTACAAATTGAGTTGCATTTTTGAATTGTTTTGCATGTCAAAAGGTGTTAAAGTTTCTTTTGGAAGCCTTTGAGTGTCTAATACACTTCTTAAGATTCTCTTGTATATATAGGTCTTTCCTAACACATGTATGATACTTCTGGAAGTCAATTAAATGAGATTGTTATCACTAGACAAAACTTCTTCTCTTGGTTCTTATCAAAGAATTTGATTCTAATCAAATTAAATCTCCTTTGTTGCAAATATCCATCAACTCATCATTCCGCCGTAATTGTGATGTTCTTCATTCCTTGTGTATTTCGCGTTCTTATTCATTTGTCGATTATTCGTTCTTATATTTATGTGTTCATCGATGAGCTAATTGTCAAAAGCGGTCAAAAACTTTCTTTTCTTGGATCAGATGATATCAACTTGCATCTTGAGAATAATTTTTATCCTTTATTCATCTAAGGTTCATACTTTTAAGATATATCATTTACACTTATAATTATAGTCTTCTCCTCTCTCTTGCTACGAACCATTGTGCACTCACAAAGTTCCTCCAATCACCATGCACCACTTTGGAGGTGATTTCCAATAGTAGCAACACTTTTTTCTTCTTTTTTCCTCTTCGTACCCTTCCTTCTTCTTTTGCAAGTATGGTTATGATGCACATGTGCAAATCTATCATACCATAATGGAAGCACACAAGTTTAGATCTAACACCACACGACATAGGTGTGCAAGTGAGAATCTTCAGCGACTAAGTGGAGGCACAAGAGTTTGAATCTTCCATGACTTAGTGCAGATTTGTGACAACGAAGGTGAACAAGGAGCGAGTCGATAGAGGTGTGGATCTATTTTCTTATCTTCAACAACAATGTGTGGATCTGTTTTTACCTTCACACGAAATGGCAGTAACATAGAGGTGAACTTGGAGCAATGATGGAGGTGAAGGAGTGCAACACTTCCAGCAAGATATGGCTTTCGAAAGCATACACTAGTGGCTACTGAAAACGAACCCTAGTGTGGCCTAGAGAGCACACTATGGGACTATGAAGGGGTTGGAGGAATAATCAAGTATGGTTGGTGCATGATATTACTAGAAACTTTTAGAGATATTCAATTGTGAATAAAGGTGGTGCACTATAGACCACATCCTAAAATGGTGCACCAGAGCCTATGTCTTGTTACATATTTACGTATGTATTTAATTCAACCGATTAAACCAGGTGATCTAACATCCCAACCGAATCCATGACTAGGCCATGCTTAAAATACATTTTGGCCTTTCAGTCTTTGTCATGATAACAATTTACATCTTTATGTTTTCGTCTTGGATCTAGACTATAAACAGTTTGTACAGTGTGTAACCATAACTAACAATATGTATATATGACTTCATAAACAATAGAGGTCATCCCTCCTCCCCGAACTCTTGAGTGAATCTCTCATGCACCTTGAGATCAGCCTTGCTTACTGTTGGTTTTTGTCTTGCTAGTACTTTATCAAAATCTGTTCTAGTGATGGGTGGTGGAAGAATCTGCGTTAAGTGATAAACTATAATAAGAACAACTAAACAATGATAAAAAATCAATGATTTTTTTTCCAATTTTAATTTTCTATCTAGTTTCAAAAGTCAACCAAAGTATTCCAATTGCACTCTCATATAAGCCTTTTTAAAAAATAAAAGACCAAACTGAATTTTAAAAATACGATGAAAAACCAAAAATATAATTTAGCCTATAGCTATTTATCTTATTGGATTATAAAACAAATAACAAAGTATTCCAATTGCACTCTCATATAAGCCTTTTTCATTCACTAGTTCCCTTTTTTACTGCATGTCCTATCTTATCAACTTTGGAAGAAGGATTCCTACAAACAAAAATTTTTAACTGTCTCTAACCACAAATCCAAGAGGCACTAAGGGTGTGTTTGTACTTTGTAACCTTCTTGGTTCACGTTTAATGCCAGTCCACTGAAAAAAGGATTCGCGTTGAATGTATATAGAAAAGTAGCGTTGAATGTATATAGAAAAGTAGGAATCAACAAAAGCAACAATTCAAGTCATTAGCCTGAAAATTTCGTTTGGTATCCATCGACTCTTTGTTTCTTGGCAACAACAATGCAAGATTAAAACCATTCACAAACTTTCATTTAATTTCAGTTTTCCACCCCAGCCTTTACCTTTGAAGCATGGCCCTGCGCATCAAGTTCCTCCAGGCTAACATTAACAGCTCCTCGCCGAGTAGGTTCACAAGGAACCCACATTCCTTTAGAGGTTTTTCTGAAGAACTTAGCATCTTGTGTTTTCCGGACAGGTTCAAATAGTACATCCTTAACCTGAATGAAGGAAACAATAATGGGACACATCTTGCAGATTAGCAGAAAGCCTGAAGCATAAAAACTAATAGTGGTTAACAGATCAATTAAATTGATGCCTAACCAAAAGTTAAGACTTACACAAACAGCTATATCTGAGCCAGAAAATCCATCTGTCTTTTGTGCCAATTCTTCAAAATCTTTTTCAGTGAGTTTATGAGGAGTATCTCCAAGATGCACCTGCACATGACAGAAATCTTAATGGTGATGAACACACTCATAAGGCTACTATGGATGTTCTGATATTCTTTTCAAGTGGGAAATGCTTGAACTCTTTTGTACCTTAAATATGTGCTGCCTTGCCTTCAGGTCTGGGAGAGGGATGTATATGCGTTTGTCAAAGCGTCTCCGAATAGCCTGAAATACTTTACTTTAGCCTCAGGAAACAGTGTAGCAATAAATTTCACTTTAGTTCAACAGACTTAGAAGGATGATTTTCCCACCTGATCCAGTGCATAAGGAGTATTTGTGGCTGCAAGAATGAGAACTTTCTGATCATTGTTTCCCACACCCTGACATGTACAAAGTTAAAGATACAAATGAATCTCTAGTAATTCATAAGAAAGTTGACATGCACAGCACTGACAGTCACCACTCCAGATTTAAAGATAAAATATATCAAGAATAATTTATAATCAACAATAAATATTTGTGACATATTTAAAATTGGGAGCCGTGACAAATTACACTAAAGCAGAACAACTGAACAAGTATGCACTGCACATGCACAGTACCAATAGCTTGAGTTCAGATTTCGGGAATGCGTGTGGATGTAATGATACAGGACAACTTTTGAAGGCTCTCCATGCAAGGTGCTGTTAGGAGCAAGATTTATGTGGGGTTTTCTTAAATTGTATCCCAAATAAAGATGAACCTCAACCTATGCTCCTTAATACTTTCCATTACGGAGAGGTATCAGTAGATTCACTTGACCCTTATGGTCTAATGGGTTCTACCTGGTCTGCTGAAAGCATTGTGTTCAAACCAAGGGATTCATAAGCCCCATAAATTCCGTCCAAAAAGTTGCCTTGCCCATGGACTTCATTGAAACTAGAAGAATAAGGTTCCCTCACTTAACACAGAAGTCTTAGAGAAAAACTGTCACGGAGGTGTTTATGCTCAACAGTAGATATGATCTCTATTCCCTCCTAAGGTTAAGGGTGTGTCATTATTCAATGCTCAAAATAATATGGTCAGTGATGGACATCAAGACAGGTACACCAATTTTAAAAGAAATCTTAATTGATATCTCTAGCACAACAACTCAAACATTAGGTCTTAAACATCTGATTGATTAAATAAGTAATCCAATAATAAATGAAAACTTACCAATACAAGAGAAAGGATGAAAGAAGAAAATGAAATGCTTCACAATCATCAAAAAATGGTTTTCACTTGATCATGGAGAAATCTAAGTCCCTTTTTCCTTTCATCCTTTGTAAAAAGCCACATTTACAATGTAGATGCATAGAGAAGAGAAAACTTTATCATCTTTGGATATGATACCCATTTAAATATTCATTCCATTTTAAGAGTATATGATGCATGATCTACTATGTCATAATGGATAACAAAAAATAAAATCAAAGTTGACAGTATCACAATTATTAAATTCATCAACAAAATCAGCATCCCCAATTCTTCTTACATCTGAATTTGTTACAACTTTATAAACAGTCACATTATTATCATCTTAGGATAAGAGACGTTGGCTTGTCTTAGAATAGTAGATTTAAGTCTAACTTAACCCTACAAAACCGGCTTGTAAGGTGAGGATTGCTTTCAACTTATATACTATTCAATTGCCTAATCTCTAGTTGATATGGGACTTAGAATTTTCCCAATACACCCCCTCACGTCCAGTACTATTGGGCTTGGTACGTGTATAAATGGTGGGTGACCCTTTTTAATAATCTAGGATTGGCGGGATTTGAGTTTTTCTTTCTTAATACACTCCCTCATGCCTATGAAGCATGTATCAATAGTGAGTGACCCATTTTTAAGAATCTAGGATAGCTCTGATACCATCTTAGAATAGTAGATTTAAGCCTAACTCAACCCTACAAAACCGGCTTGTAAGGTGAGGGTTGCTTTCCACTTATATACTATTCAATTGCCTAATCTCTAGTAGATGTGAGATTTGAGTTTTTCCCAATAGCTTGATATATTCTTTTAAGACTACAACTGACACCATTTCATTCTGTTCCAAGTTGACATTAGGAATTATTATTTATTAAATACAAAAGTGATAAGAGAAGACATTGGTGAAAATAATAAATCTTTAATTTAAAATCCAGAGTAAGACATAATAAATACCTGCATTTGCACTAAAAGTTCAGTTTTAATTCTTCGAGATGCTTCACTTTCGTTGCCTTCACCTCGTTGACCACATAAAGAATCTATTTCATCAATAAAAATAATTGAAGGAGCATTGTCTCTAGCCATTTGGAAAAGACTTGCAACCAGCTTTTCACTCTCACCCATCCACTTAGAAACAAGATCTGATGATGAAACACTGCATAGACAGAACATATACACCTGAGATATCAATTAATTATTAAACACAATCTTATGTTTTAAAATCATTTTATCTTCTGTTGACATGTGGGCGAGACATAAGCAAACACTGTCAGATCAATTCTTCCGAACTATGAAATACAGCATAAATATGTTTTCAATCAGATATGTTTGAGAGCATGCACATCTTGGTCTGTTTATACTTTGTATTATGTGGATATATAGCCAGTTGTACTGCTTCCTTTTACAATATGCCACTCGTATGAGTCATTCAGTAACCTACATGCTCCATTAAACTTATCTAGTAAACTGGAGAATCACATCAAAGGACACCGTTAACATGGCTCTCGTGCTAGAGACACATAGTGCTGCTTTTATTCTTAAAGCTGATTATTGGTATAATGAAGACTCAAGTGGATGCTCATAATATACTTCTGTAAATTCTTAATAAACTACATCCCTTGTGAATCTTTGACATCCTAATGTGTTGCTATGATGCAGGATAAATCCTTAATCATCCTTTACTTTCACTGACTTCAATACCTAGAAAAATTGAATGTATGGCTGTATATGCCCGCAATTAAGCATAAACATTATTTAATTTTATTCCCCATGCAACAAAAAGTTTTTAACTCCTGTCATTATAGTTTGACTTCATTTATATTTTCTACAAAACTCAGCGTGTACTATATAATTAACGGCCAAATTGAGTAGCAATGTGAAATTTCATAAAACTGTGGTAAGAAAGCAGAAAAAATCAGAATAAGGAATGTTATCTTTAAGAAATAACCATTTTCTTTCATGCTCTGATTAAATCCTGTTGTGAGTAACATTTGCTTATGACTTATGACTTACATGAGAAGAAAATAATGAGAACTGCTTTACAGCCTTTACTATTGAGAACTGTGTACTGTGCACCACTGCCATGCTACTAATTAACCTGAGAAGTAATAAGAATTTCCATATGTTCTGATAAACTTATATTAGTATCCTATAAAATACTAGAAGTTAGCAGAAGAAAGAGAAAAAATTTCAGGGAGAAATGAGAAAAGAGATGTATATCACTAATTCACTTTCAGAACAGATAGTGAGGAGAAAAGTTAGGGGTATAATTGTGGGGTATTAAGAGAATGAGTCAGTTCCTCTGAAAGTGGTGAATGAAGAATTTAAAAAAAAAAATCACTTTGTTGGAGTCCAGATGAAACCAACTATAGGTTCACACAATTTCTAAAATCTGGATTTATCATCAGAATTGGAAAAGGAGGGAAGAGTTTCTAGACTTAATAATGAATCAGGCATACTAATTAAAAATCAGATGTCAAGCTCACTTCCAATGTCTATGTTAAATACCTGAAAAATGTAGAGTCTGCTTCTGTCGCAACTGCCTTTGCTAAGTATGATTTCCCTGTTCCAGGTGGACCATACAACAGAAATGCTCTCCATGGTTGTCTCTTACCTAAGGGAATATGAGATGACATATAGTTGTCAGCAAAATACAGAAAGCAAATATGTTATGATTTAGATTAATTCTAGAAGGACAAGTCTCCAACTTGTTAGTAATTACTTATTAGCAATGATCTTGCTACAAGCTTTATCATAAGATGCTATTATTGTTTCAACCAACAGCATGGAAAGAAAAGATTCACTGCTCCTAGGATTAGGAGTTTGAGGAATACAATTTACATGCTTTCTAGACCTCAGTGGAATTACACAAAAATTAGGGAGGGATGGTTTTTCTAGTTGACAATCAGTTGAAACTCATTACATGTATCAACATGTCCAGATACCATAATTACATCCCCAGATTCATGAGTTCAAATTGGTTGCAACATTTTTTTCATCTGCAACTAAGACTCACAAGGTTAAAAATAAATGAATCCTGTGGTTTTTTGGTAATTAATTATCTTTTCCATACAGAAAAATTCAACTAAGATTTAACTCCTCAAACTATTATCAGCACCAGTTATCTTATTCAGACTTCAGAGTACAGGCTTGGAAGCTTATGGAACTAATTTCCTTTTCTTTTCAAATTAATCTATTTTCATGCATTCATAAAGCATGATTTTGGTTGAATAAACATATAATTGTACACTACCCATACAATTCCAAAACTCAGCACTCAGATATTGCTGATGGGATCATGTCCTAACCTATGCACTAAAGTGCAACTAACTGGCCTGTACAGACACTGAAATACAACCAGATGCAAGTACCTAATGGTCATGATTCATTAACATACCAGTGAAAAATTGTGGGAACTTAGCAGGCAATATAACAGCCTCTTGTAATGCCTGTTTAGCACTCTCGAGGCCTGCGATATCACTCCATCTGACATTTGGTTTTTCTTTGATTATAACAGAATCAAGAGCAGACTTCAACTTTGCTTGCTCAGGATCCTCCTTGTCTTTCTCTCCTCCCCCACTTGTCTTTGTCTTTGGTCTCACAGAACCAGCCGCGGCATCTCTATTCAAGTTTGCTTCACCACCACCCGCATCAAGAATGGCTTGAATCTCCTCAGCCCTTCTCAAGTATTGAGCAAATTTCAGAGTTATTGTCTCCTTGATCTTGGGGTGCTTCTCATACTTCAAATGGGCCCTTAAGTATTCCAAAGCATTCATATAAAGAGTAAATGCCTTCTTATAGTTTCCAGCATCATCCTCACGAACTGCCTGCTTAACATACTCAGCAGCATGCTCCTTGAAATTGCAATACATCCTCAGATTACCAGCACTGCAAACCTAATGTGTCCCTATCCTTTTACTGTTAACATAAGAGCCTTTCGAAATTATTAACTGTTGAATAAACACAAGGGGCACAACTTCATCTATCTCTTAAAAAAATTCATAAATTCAGACACTAAATTAGGTCACTTTCATAACATCAACAGATTATAACACAACAGAATTAACATAACAATACCCTTATGAAGTAGGGGAAGAAGCTCACTTTGATTGGACTATATACAATTATTACACACAATTGAAACCGCCATTATACAATAATCATATAGAAACAAACGAGTATATTTGGTATTTGAAAACTCAAAGCTTTTGCAAAACCGCTACAGAGTTTAATAATAAAGGGCCTTTAAATGCCCAGAAGGAAAACAAAAACATGAATTTGTAGAGGCTAGAAAGGATCAAAACCCAGATATACAAACTTGAGAGGAATCACAGAATCATGAAGCAGAGACGGGGATCGAGAGAAGCGTTTTAACTATTGCTGAAAATTTTGGCAAAAAACAAATCAGTAACCATCCAACGGGGTTAAACCGTCGAAAGAATTAAGAAAAGAGAAAAAAATTAAAAGAAATAAATTGGAGATGAAAGAAATGAGAAAAATAAAAAGTCGATTATATATTTTTATTTTTATTTTCTATTTATATATTTATTTCTGAAAAAACCTATTTCTATTTATTTTTTATTTTTTTTATTTCTTTAAAATCAAATAATTTTAATTTTCCTCTATTTTCACTTATATTTTTCATTCTATTATTTTTATCTATTTTTTTAACTTATTTATTTATTTTCATCTTATCAAATATTAGTATAGAGTATGGAATAACTTGTAAGTGCAAAATTCATCAAGAAAAAATATGGATCATGTAAAAATTATAAAATATACAAATAAAAAACATTAGGATTGATAATATATATATATAGTTTTAATTTTTGTGTATTTTCTTTAAATTTTTAAAATTCTCAACTAATTAAAATACATGCACATTATTATCTCAACATCTTATGATTGGGTTGATTAGCAGTTTTTGAGGGACACCTTATATCTGTTTGGTTTTCCAATGGTTACCGTTTCTTTGATTATGCACAGTATTTCCTTGACACAACTCTCCCTTATGTGGAATGGTAGCAGGTTAGAGATCTTTAACCTGGTTAGGGAGTTGGGGGGCAAGGAGACTCATTCTCTTCTTACTTGTTTGCCTTGTGAATGGAATGCTTAGGTGTTACAATCCTACATGAAGTTCAAGAATCAAGATGGAAGCCTATTCAAATCTCTTATATTGTGCCTCTTATTTCACATATCTTCTTTGCAGAGGATGTGCTTCTATTTGTTAAGGCTTTGTCCTCCCAAGCCCATGTTGTTGCTAATGTTGTAAACATGTTATGTTCCTCTTCAAGTATGAAAATTAACTTAGATAAATCTTGAGCTTTTGCTTCACAAGGGGTGGTAGGAAGCATATAGGATCCCATCCTTGGAATCACTCAAATTTGGTTTACCTCTTAGTTGGGAAAATACCTGGGGTTCAAGTTAGTTCAAGGGTGCGTCACTAAAGCAAACTTCATGAATGTTTTATACAAGATATCCAGCTACTTAGCCAGTTGGAAGGGGCATCTTCTTAATAAGCCAGGATGGCTGATGCTGGCCAATTCAATCTTAGCATCAATACCAACTCACAAGATGCAAACACAATGGTTTCCCAAGGTGTGTGTGATCATATTTATAAAACTATCTGGGGTTTATTTGGGATGGCCATGGTGACCATGTAGTGCACTAGGTAGATATCATAATATAGCACTCTTGGGGAAGTTAATTTGGGATCTTGTATCCTCTCCGAAACAAATTTGGGTAATTGTTTTACGCCATAAATATTTGCAACACAAGACTATTTTCAAGGTGAAGGGGGTCAAAGGCTAACCCACGTGAAGGGTTAGAACCAATGCATGATGTTCCTTGAAGACAACTTTTGCATGAAGTTGGGTGATGGCAGCTTAAACATTTGGTTTGATGCATGGATTGCCAAATTTCTCATCGGTCAACTTATTCCTTGGATAGATATCCATGATTTAGAAGTTACTATCAAAGATCTTTGGACAAATCAAGGATGAAATTTTGATAGATTGTATAATAACTCCCTGAGGTTCTGGATATCATTAGAAGCTTGCACCTTGTTTCGTGGAAGGCTTACCAAATATGTAGGTTAGGGGACATAATCCTGCGGGCACTTACACCACCAAATTCAGGTATGATTGGCTTAACTTTGGATGAGTCCTTACAAGATTGGAGAGGCAGATAGTGTTGGATATGGAAATTTAACCTTCCAGCAAACTCCCAATTCTTCCTCTAGTAGGTTTGTCATATGGTTATCCAAGTGAGACAAATTCTTTTTCATAGATACATTGTTTAATCTTAACGTTTATTCTCGTTGTTCTGTTGAGAATGAAGCAATCTCTCATTGCCTCTTCAATTGTAGTGCTTCTTAAATGGTATGGATGTCTTGGGGGTTCTCTTGTAAGTTGTAGCCTTCATATATCATTCATGATTTAAGAAAACTACTGCCTACCCTAAGGATCTTAGAATTTATTATTCTCCAATACATTTATAATAGTAAGAAAGACTTACCTTGATCCATGACAACCGTAATGAGAATAAGTTCTTCAATCACATTTTTCCAATCTATCTCTTTCCATACTTCATATTCTCACATTACTTTCTTTGATGGTAAAACAATGAGAATTGTTTCATATGGCATAGATAGAACCCAAATAGTTCCTCTTATTCAACTAACTTCCATCAAGTTAGTTATAGGCGGTTATAAATTTTGAAAATAATAACTTTCCATATTTGCCAATAAGTCCTTTTATTTTATTAAATCACGTTTGAGCTCTTAATTCACATGAGTCACATTATAGTGTTATTTAATATTTTCTAACATTCTCCCACTTGACTCATGTGATGTCATAACACTTCATGATTTAATAATTACATAAATCATAGTGCGCATTAAAGACCTTAGATAAATTGACTCCATCATTAATCATAATTAAAGATACAGAAATAATAAGAGTCATAGCGGTTACATGTCATTCAATCAACACATTTCCTTCCATGTACCACTATATTATCCTTCTCCTTAATATGACCGTAAAATGAGAAGTTCATAATGGATTCAAACATAAAGTCACTCTTTCATTAATAAACACATAATATGTTTTCCACATCATAATTTGCATGCATATACATAAAGTAGAAAACATAAATTTCAGAAACTTGTATATTAAATGAGCTCAGAGTGTCAAATAGGCATTAATAACAACATTAACATTCAACATTCACTAGTAGACATAATGCCCATATTCTCTACATGGCTAGTAAATACTTTGGGCAGTAACCCTTTTGTTAAAGGGCCAACAATCATAAGATTAGTTCTAATATGTTTTATTGACACTCTTTGTTTCTGAACTTCTTCTTTAACGACAAAGTATTTCAATTCCATATGCTTAGCACCTTTGGAATACTTGTCATTTTTAGAAAAGAAAATAGTTGCGAAATTATCACAATAAATTTTCAGCGGCCTGACAATACTGTCAACTACTCCAAGTCCCGAAATAAAATTTTGCAACTAATTAGCCTAAACTGTGGCCTCAAAGCATGCCACAAATTCAGCCTCCATAGTGGATGTAGCAATGACTGACTGCTTCGCACTCTTCCATGAAATTGCTCCTCCGGCTAAAAGATACACAACCAAATGTAGACTTTCTTGTATCTATACAACCGGCAAAATCTAAATCTGTATATCCAATCACCTCAAGATGATCAGATTTCTTATAAGTAAGCATGTGATCCTTTGTCCCTTACAAGTATCTTAATACTTTCTTTGCAGCTTTCTAATGATCCAATCTCGGATTACTTTGGTATCTACCAAGCATACCAACTACAAAGCTAATATCTGGCCTTGTACATGTTTGAGCATACATTAAACTCCTAACAACAGATGCAGAAGGGATATTTTTCATCTGTTTCCGTTCCAAATCATTCTTTGGACATTGCATAAGACTAAATTTGTCTCTTTTCTGTATTGGAACGGGAGATGTTGAACATGTATCCATTCTGAATCTCTCTAAAACTTTATTAATATAGGCTTTCTGAGACAAGCCTAACAGTCCTTGTGATCTATCACGGAATATTTCTATTCCTATCACATAGTTTGCCTCACCCATATCTTTCATTTCAAAGTTGTTAGAGAGAAACTTCTTAGTCTCACTTAATAGACCAAGATCATTAGTTGCAAGCAAGATGTCATCAACATACATAATTAGAAATATAAACTTGCTCCCACTGAATTTCAGATATACACCGATCAACAGTGTTTTCCTTAAATCCAAAGGACATAATAGTATCATTGAACTTAATATACCATTGTCGGGAAGCTTGTTTAAGTCCATATATTGCTTAAGTTTACACACCATGTGTTCTTTTCCTTCTTCAATGAACCCCAGTAGTTGGTCCATATAAACATTCTCTTCTAAATTCCCATTCAAAAAGCCAGTTTTAACATCCATTTGATGTAACTCAAGGTCATAATGAGCTACTAATGCCATGATAATTCTGAAAGAATCTTTCTTAGAAATCGGAGAAAAGGTTTCCTTATAATCAATGCCATCCTTTTGAGTAAAACCTTTGGCAACAAGTCGAGCCTTGTGTCGTTCGATATTGCCATGAGAGTCACGGTTAGTCTTAAAGACCCATTTACACCCAACTCTCTTGCACCCTTCAGGCAATTCCACAAGGTCCCATACATCATTTTGTGCCATTGATTTAAGCTCATCATTCATGGCATCTAACCATTTTTTAGAATTATCACCATTAATAGCTTCTAAAAATGAAACTGGATCATTTCCTGACTCTTGTAGATAAATCACATAGTCATTTGAAATAGCAGATCTTTTTTCCCTTTGAGATCTTCTTAATACTATTTCCTGTGGTTATTCTACTATAGGTTCATTGTTAACCACAGGATCATTAATTTGTTGTTCTTCTTGATTGTTGTTTGGTTCAACAACATGGGGAACAAAAATTCTTGAAGTAGAAGCACTAGTTAAAGGAACTTGTACTCTAACTTCCTTAATCTTCACATTTCGTGAAGTTTCACTCCCACTGGTTTCACCATTTTCAATGAACCTGACATTTCCAGTTTCAACAATTCTTGTACTATGGGTAGGACAATAAAACATATACCCTTTTAATTTTACTGGATAACCAATGAAATACCCACTGATTGTTCTTGCATCTAGTTTATTTTCTTGCAGATTGTATATTCTAATTTCTGCCTGACAACCCCAAACATGTAGGTGTTTTAAACTGGGTTTCCTACCTGTTCACAACTCAAAAGGTGTCTTTTGAACTACCTTACTAAGAACCTTGTTTAGCTTGATTACTTATACCTGTAGGGACATAGTTACTTTGTCGAACCAGAGATCCCTCATGAGTCATCCCTACTTGTTGATAAGGATCTTGCATGATAAATCTCATCCCATTTGGTCTGGGATTATATCCTTGTGGGGATACATGCATTTGTGGATTTGACCCTAAATAAGGCAATGGCATCTCGACATGTATGGGTTGAGTAGTTCACCAATTTGGAGGCATAACCCATGGGTATTCTCAAGTGGCATTCAAAACTTCCTGAGACACATTTATTTGTCTAGCCACATTCTCAGGTACTATAGGTGGTGGCGTTGCCCCCTTGTCAAGACAGTTACATTTTCCACATTAAGATTTGAATTTATATTCTTTATATCTGCTGGAACATCGTTATTTACCTCTCTAGATGTAGACATGGTTCTTCCACTCTTAAGTCTCATAAAACATACCTAAAAATAGTTTAATTATGTTTTCAATCAAACATGTCCCACCGGGCGTGCCAATTTGTTTGTGGTAAAATTAGTTTATGGGTTCTTTTTACTTGAACTAATACATAATTATTTCAATTTAGGTATTTACGATTAAGGCTTCTTAAGAACGGAGACAAAGACGAGGAAAAGCGCTAATAGATACTTGTTTCTAGATTTTCCTCAATGACTATCAAGCAATAATTTTCACACATGTAGATCCTCAAATAAACGAAATGAATAGTACATATATTGGCAACACAAATCATCGTCCACTTCGCATAATTATCAAGTTACAGTATAATGATTTTAACTACAACAAACTACGAGCTACGGAATTCAACGAAGCTAAACTAACCCTAAGAAAATACAATAAATGTGGCCAAGAAGTCATACCCAGCAATCTTGTGCACGGAAGCTATATGCGCAGGTAGTGAGTGCTTGTGAAAGTTCAAGTATGAATTTTCCGACCATTGTGAAGTAACATGCTTCTCATATTTATAAAACCAGTCGAGAGCGGTTAATTTTGTGCAAGTTCATCATGGGCGCGTAACCGTTGTCCACTACGCCAATTACGCAGCTTAAATGTAACTTCTCGTAACTGTTCATCCCACGTTTCTTTATTTCTTCGGCTAGGCTTAGTAACCGCCTTGGTGTAACTGTCCCAAACTGCTCAAGCAATATTATATTAGAACTACTCGACCTACCCTCGAACACCCACATTCTTTTAGTCCAGCTTGATCTTTATTTGTATGGCATGTATCCCTTTTGATTTTTCGAGTAGATTTCGAGAGAATTTGTTTCGGGTGCCCCCAACAAATAGTAAGAAAGACTTACCTTGATCCATGACAACTGTAATGAGAATAAGTTCTTCAATCACATTTTCCCAATCTATCTCTATCCATACTTCATATTCTCACATCACTTTCTTTGATGGTAAAACAATGAAAGTTGTTTCATATGGCATAGATAGAACTCAAATAGTTCCTCTTATTCAACTAACTTCCATCAAGTTAGTTATTGGCAGTTATAAATTTTGAAAATAATAACTTTCCATATTTGCCAATAAGTCCTTTTTATTTTATTAAATCACGTTTAAGTTCTTAATTCACATGAGTCACATTATAGTATTATTTAATATTTTCTAACATCTCTAACCTTAGTATTCCACATAATGATTTGAAGCTCATTTTGTGGCTGCAAGACAAGGTTCAAACTAATGTTTTGTTAGTTCCAACAATTTTATGGACTATTTGGTGTGATAGAAATGATATGGTGTTCAACCAAAATACCACTTGCACCAATGTGTTGTGTGAAAAAGAAAAGGTATAGAGTTATAAAATATAGAGTTTACAATAGTTTATAAATAAAAAAGAAAAGGTATATTCAAATAATATATAAACTCCTAACCTAATTTCATTGCCTCGATGTCACACTATCAGAATAACCTATAACTTTAACTCTCGACGTCTTGAGTGTCACCCACATCAAGATCATCATTACCTAAAATAACCACAAAACATATGGGTGAGAAAAACAAGCGTTCATAAGTGAGATACAAGAAAGAATTCCCACCCAATACAAAGTCTAGCTAAGAAAGATTAAACAACCTACCGAAACGATAATGGTGCTCCCTTCCTTGTGTTCTTTTGATAATGAAAAAGGGGGAGAAAAAAATAAGATCATCATAAAACATTTCAATTTTTAGTTCTAAATTTTTGTTAAATATTTTTTTTAGCTTTAATACATACATCGATACATTTGTGCTATGATACTCTTAATTATATTGATACTATATGTGGATATGCATCCAATGCTTATACTTTGACATGTTTTGACATGTTTTCTTGTTGCTCTGATCATATTGGCATGATGCATATTGCATAGACTCAAGGAGAGTCACACAATAGAATGCAAGTTATAAAGCTTAAGCTTTGATGCATGTTATATATGACATCAATGTATGATATTATTTTGATACAAATGTATGAGAACGTATTTGTTATTTTAAAATGAATCAATTGATAATTTTTTCATCATAAAAAAGGGGTGGATTATTGAACCAAATATGAAGTATGTGTCTAAATACTTCAATTTTGATGAGAACAAAGTCACGACCTTGATGAACAAACAATTTGTCTAAATGATTATAGGAACCATGTGTTCAATGCATAGAAGAGTTGAAGAACAAAATTGTTTTTTTATAACAAACTTTCTTCTATCAATGCGTGAAATTGAACAAGTATAATATTAAGCTAAAACGATAGTCGAAGTCCGTGTCCAACATCCAACATCCTAAGACCAATGTTTATGTTTTTAAGTATTAACAAATCCAATGTTTGTTTGAACATCTTCGCACCTTAAATCAACCTTAAAAATGTTTGAAAACATTCTTTGATAAGTATTCTGATAACCTGTGCAAGTTATAAATGCAAATATGCTAATTTATTTCCTATTTTGTGAACACGAGCAAAATGATATAGTAAAACAATCCCAATGCAGCGCCTAGCAAAAGAAAGACAATTACAAAAAGAATTTGTCAACGCCTACAAAAATGTGTTTAGTCGAGATTGCTACTCTTCATTCCTTTATCATTAGATTTTATGAAATTTTGAACTACCATGACAAAAAACGATATTTAACTAACATTTATCACAAGTCACAACTATCATCTTCAAGAGAATAAAAAAGAACATAACTCTTCTTATTTCATTCAACTTGTACAAGGAAAGAAAATAGAAGGAAACAAGTTTTTCTCATCCAATTTTAACTCCCCTCTAATATTAAGTATTAGAAAAATTTAGAAAAAAAGAGACGAGCTTTAAAATAATTTTAGTACTATATGTACAACATCCTTGCTTGTATGATTTACTTAAAGAATCTCGTTCTATTTTTATTATGTGCGAAAAAAATTCATTCTACCAACTATCGTCACAGTGATGCGAATTTTTTAGTTTAATGGACTAAAGAGATCGTGGCAGAAAAAACAAAGTTTTGTTTTTGTTTTTGTTTTTGTTTTTTTTTCATTCGCCTAGTTGAATTTAAAAATGCGTGTCGAATATATACAACAACGCCTGCACTACGACTCGGTGGTGTCTATTTCCCAGCGAGCCACGCACCTCACTCCTTCAATTATATCAGGTTATTCCTCTTCTTCAATGTTTTTGCATTTTATGTTGTTCTCAATTGCATACACTCTGTTTGGCACAATATTTTCTTCAATCGGTTAAAAGTTACACTTTCTTTGCCCTTCCTCGTATATTCCGAACATGTGAAAATCAAACAATGCTTCTGGGCCTCATTTTTTATTTCTCATTTTAACTTTGAACTAACTAAATAAGAATGTAAAGCATGTCTTTTAATGTTTCTGTAATTCTCTCTCTCTCTCTCTCTTTTCCCTCTTGTTGATCCAACCATGCGAAAGAGAATATTAAATATATATTTTTTAAAATTTTTAATTTTGAATCCAGCACGAGGCACTGTCATCTGTTGAAGGTAGAAGAAGCATAATGCAAAGTGGCGAGGGAGACAAAGAAATGGAGGTGGGTTCAGTGGTGGTTGAAAAAGTTGGAGGTAGATCATCTGTGATACGTTGCTTCTCCAGATACCCCCTCAAGTTCATCATACCCAAAAAGGTTTTCAACAATCTTTAATTTTATTATTATTATTATTAGGAATTTAATTGGAAAAGACTGAAAGAGTATACTGTTGCATGAATTTAATTACAATATAGTAAAACTGACATCTAATTACATATCCTTCTCTGCATGATAAAGATATTGACCTTAACCTGCATGAAGATTGAACTCTTTTTAATATTTCCATATAATGGGAAATTGTTGACACAGGATAATTTTTGATTAGTTGTTAGAATAATTTCTTTACACACTAATAGTGCATTATAATTAAAATTTTATCTTGCCATATAATTGAAAATTGTTGAATTTTGTTGTACTAATTACTTTTAAAGTTACATACATAGACTATTTTGACTAGTTATTTGAGACTATATGAAAATTAAATTCTTCTATTATACTTTCAGTCGTGTTTTGACTTGGTTGCATAGACTTGTATGCTTGTGTTATGGAGCCATTAGTCTAAAAATATTAGCTTGGCATGCTAAAAATGTTTTTTTTTTTTTTTCACTTATTGCTTAGGTGGGTTCTTCCAAAATTGATGCAGTATGGGTTTATGCCCTCAATTATGGAGGTGGAATTGTATCTGTAAGTTTTATGGTTTTATATTTGCCCCCTTCCTTGCCTTGGTTTTATGTTTCTATTTACATATGATGGTGGACTTGTGTGTTTGCCTTGTGAGGTGTAGGGTGATCACATTACATGCAAGTTTTCTGTGGGAGATGCTTGTACCATGGTGTTAACCACCCAAGGTTCAACCAAGGTTGACTAATTTTTTTTCTTTCTGTCGCTGATTGGTTCTTTTTTTATTTTCTTCATCTTCACCCTTCTAGTGTTATCTTTTTTAAATTGAGCTGGCTTCTGGATCAGATTCAGGTGCTTATGAACAAGATATATATATATCTTTAGATCAGTTGCTTTTGGTTAGAGTGAATTTTGGTCTTTAACTTGGCTTATGTTTAGATTATTGATAATTTTGTTGTCTTGGTTTAGGTTTACAAATCTGTTGGATCTATGTGTTCTCAACAAATATTAGAGGTAAAAACAGTGTATTTCTTTTGCTAGTTAGCATTGATGCTCATCATTCATAACTTAGAGGAGTCATATTACATGATAGAGAAAAAAGATTAGCAATAATTGTTTCACTTTACAGTACATGATGTCAATATCAAGATCATGGCATGAGTATTATGCTTATTGTTGGAATCTAATAAGTTGATTTTTTTAATAACATAACATACTTATACTTTTAAAGAGAAATTCCTTGACGAACTTGTTTTTTCATTTGTGGTTAATATTTGACTATTGGTGAGTTTATTGGTTTCTGGGTACAACTGACAACTGTTGAATTGATTGTGTAGTAGGCTAGAGTTGGAAGCAATGCACTATTAGCCATCATTCCAGATCCAGTGACATGCTTTTCCACTGCAAGATACTATCAGAAACAAGTCTTCAGTGTGTCATCAGACTCAAATATGGTCATGGTTGATTGGATTACAAGTGGGCGACATGAAAGTGGAGAAAAATGGGATTTTGATCTATATAGAAGCACCAATAATATATTCTTAGAAGATGGACAACCTTTATTTCTGGATACGGTAATTGTTTACTGCTGTCCTTGTTATGCTTGTTATCAATAGTACATCTAAAGAATGAAGCCAGTTAAGTGGCAACCAATGTGCTATATACTGCTTTATCTTTTCCTCAAGGGTGTTTCACCTGGGCTTGACGCAGGCCACAGACTCAACCAATCATCGTTAAGTGCAAGTTTGGTATTGCATTTTTTCAGGACATATAATCACTTATTTTTCAAAAGCCATCTTGGGAAATTGATAAATGCAAGTGATTGTTTCTCTAAAATAAGCTGAATCAAACACACTAAGATGCAAATTTAGACATTGAGGACTTAGAAGACTGAAAAATAACTGACACCATTTTTCCTTTTCATGGTTTTGTTAACCAGTATGATATAGGAATAATTTCTTGTGATGCATATTCTTACATAAAGGGAGATGATCAATGCTTTTGGGTTCAAAATCAATTACTTTAGCTCTTACCATTAGAAACTTGTTTGGTGCACCATATGCTGCCCTATGAATAGTAGACGAGTGTACCTAGCAGTTTTTGATGCACTACTATGTTGAGAGATTCTACATCAACTATGTGGTCAATGTATAAGGTTTGGGCAATTCTTACTTTACAAGTTGATTTTGTGGGTTAAGTCTTAACTCCCAAATTCTTTAAGATAATATTAGAGCCTATCTTAGATTTGTTATTCGACCATCTATATATTTGTTTATGATCTAGATGTCTAATCCTAGGCACGAAGCAGTGTTGTTATTGGACTCCTTGCATTTATCTATTCTCCAAATTACCAGCCTTGGGTGTGAGGGGTTGTGTTGAGATCCCATATCACCGAAATATAGTCAATGTAGTCCTTGTGACATTTGGGAAGTCCTCTTTTCTGAAGTTGATTTTGTGAGGTTGAATTAGGTCCTTAAGACACTATATGGGCTAAAATCTTGGGACTTTATATTTCCCTTATATGCAAATTATTTGATGTTGTACATGTACTCTAATACGAGAGCATTTATCAAGACAGTCAATATGAGATAGAATAGGAAGGGCCACTAAGGAGGGAAACACAGTTGTAACTGACATGGCTGTAAACTAACAACTGTATATAAATAACAGAAATGTAACAAATAGAAGCAGATAGGGAAATAGAGGGGAGTCTAAGAAGTCTATGAATTGTAGGAGTCTATGAGAGTTCGGGTATTCTCAACCCAGCCTGTTGTACAACATTCTTACCCTTTGGGTCACATTGATCCAGGGAAATTATTCCTAATAAACGCCTTTTTCCATTGCTTGTTGATTTTTTTCCTAATAGCAGTCACGTCCCACATTGGAAGTATGAGATTCTAGTTTGGGGTTTATAAGATCTTGGTGCTCTAACTTCAACAATAGCTTTGTGGAGTTGTTCTCAAAAGGCTCTTATCAACTGGAATTAGAGCTTTCCATCATGTCTCTTAGTTGTGAATGAGCAGTGCAAGTGGTGATGGCATTGTAATGTTTGCTAAAACCCAGTCAATGGGGTGAGATTAAGGGATCCAATTGCAATGAGACTTGAGTCTCGCAAGGCCATGGGCCCTCAACTAGAATAACTAACTATTGTGGCATGGTAAGTGGTTCTCCCAAAGGCTCTTATCATACTACCATTTTATGACCAAAAGTTATTGGGAAAGGAGAGAATTGTTATTTCATGATCATGAAGAACCCATGACAGCAATGGACTGCAGGACATGAAGTGGATGTCTTTCTTAAGAAGACTCTATAATTGCTTTTTTATCCCTTTCAATCTGGCAGCTACGAATTCAAACTTCCATTTCAGCTCTTACTATGACCTTGTTATTTTATCAAAGAGATAGACACCATATTTGGACCCCGTGCAGGAATGTGGGATCATATAAAGGAGAGGTTTATTCCGTGTACAGGGTGTTGTCCTTGTGATTTTCTTTAGTGACAATATTATGTTAAGAGAACATCCAAATCGAGCAGCATATTTTGCTTTGCATTTTTCTCTCCCCTATACAGGGTGTTGTGCTTGTCAGCTTTCTGAAATGACTATCATGTTAGATGCTAAAATTAGAGCATTAAAATTTGCAGCATATGTTGCTTCTTCATATCTCCTCCCATCACATATAATGTACAAAACAACATCCCTCCTCTTGTAGTTTGAATTAATAAAGTTTCAGTAGATATTTTGGAAAAGGCAATTTGGACCATCTTTTACTTTGGGATTGTTATCCTTTTCTCCCATATTCTACTCAAATGGCTTTTTGTTACAAACAGATGTTATTAGAGAAAGAAAAAGTGGGATGCATACAAGAACACATGCACAACTACCAAGTAATTGCAATGATTGTACTCTTGGGGTGAGTGGTTTATTTTTTCTTACTTTTTGATTAATTTTTTGGTATTATGAATTCATGTACTATGTGCTTTTTTAGGCCAAAGATGGAGTATATCCAGAATCTTGTGCAAGATCACGTAAAAAAAATTATGTCTGAACAATTACAGCATCCTTCCACTGCATGGAGTCACCAAAGGGACAAGGCTGATCATTTCATTACAAAACCAAGCTTCATAGCTTCTTGCAGTGCCTTTGGTCCCAAGGTAAATGATAAATTATATCAATTTCAATTTCAATTGACCAGAATATAATGTCTAGCTCCATTGTTTAAAGAGTGCTTTGACTTGAGTTTGTTTATATCTGACTTCTCCTACTTTTGTTTTGCTGGAACTCAATTCATTTCTGGTCATAGATCCAAGATACTAGTGTCGGTGCATTGCTGTATGTTGAAAAGTAGAATGAAATGGAGGAAACTTTCTGGTTTTCTACTATTTGCATAATAGGTTTGTTTGTGTTTGATGGAAACCCAAAAATGGGTGGGTATTATTATTTCAAATAAATAAAGAGATTGACAGATTAATCTACTGCCTTCCTCTCCTAGAGCACCAACTCCGATTACAATTCAATAAAAATTCTCAAAAACTGTCCCTCTCTGTCAAACTACACTATATTTATCTTCATATCCCTTGCCTAAATTCTTAAAATTGATAAAAGAAGATAAATCCCAAGAATAAGTTATGACAGAATTCAAATAACATAATCCTAATCCTAAAGATAATCTATGATAACAAAATTCAAATGATAAATCCTAAAAATAAGCTATGATAACATAATTCAAATAACATAATCCTAAACTAAATCCTAAACATAAACTATGATAGCATAATTCAAATGAGATAATCCTAAACTAAATTTGCTACTTTGAGTTGGGTGCTATCAATTTTAGTGAGTTATGATTGTAACAATACAATATCACTAGTAGTAGACCCAATTAGGGGCATTTGAAGGGAGTGCCTATGGTAGTGGAGCGTGGAAAAATGATTTGCTGGAATTTTGAATCATCTTTAAGGTAAGGCTGTCCATTTGTTTCTTGTACAGTGAATCTTGCTAGTCTGGGGTATATTTTTAATTTTCTGATACATTTTGAATAATACAGGCATTGATTTATAGACAGAATCAGTCCTAAAGAGGAAACTAAATCTGCTGCAATCAGGAAAAAAAAATAGCTTATCATCTATTATCGGATCATAATTCAGCTTTTATTTAAATCTGATTCTAAAAATCAAACCAGTAATTGATACAAAAATTAAGGACAAACTTGCAACACCCCTTTAAAAATCAAACCAGTAATTGATACAAAAATTAAGGACAAACTTGCAACATCCCTCCCCTCTAAGTTGGTGCAAAGATATCTCCCATGCCCAACTTGCTTATTAGACTTGAATATAAGAGATTTAAGTTTTAGAGAGAAAAATCAGTGAGTTAATCTGTCGTCACTAATGTATATTGTATATATATTTGAGAAATATCTGAGTACAAAATGTATAAGTCAGAGTAGAGAATAATTAGCTGAGATATATCACAGCAGCAAAGTACAGCAAAACTAGCTTTTAAAGAGCTGAACAATAGATACAAAAAGGTTTAATTTAACACTCCCCTCAAGTTGGAGCATATAAATTGTATGCACCAAGCTTGAACATATAAACTGAATCCAAGGTCCTCTCAAGGATGTAGTCAACAAATTTGCAAGTTGATCACTGGAGTTAATAAATTTAGTGATGATCTCCTTGGATAATAGCTTCTCTCTTAAAAATTGACAGTTAATCTCTATATGCTTAGTTCTCTCATGAAACACGGTTTTGAAGTAGCTAGCAACATTAACTGTTTAATCTTCTCTATTTATATTCTTTTTTCTTGAAAGACATCGGAGACCTATAGTTTGAGAATGTTTCTTTTCAAAATATGCATTAATTGTGTGTTTAATGACTTTGAACATAATTTTCGTTTCTTCAAACTACAAGTGTTTCTTTTGTTCTCTTGAAGTTGATAAGGGATCGTAATAAGAAGAACTTTTTATTCTTATATCTGCAAACTAACTTTAACTTAAAACCTACATTGACATATCTACTTTTGTCTTAGACAGAGAGCTTGTTTGGTTACAAACTAGAAGGACTTTTGAGAGTTTCTCTACCGAAAATAAAAAGTATTTTTCATTAGAAAAGTTTTCAAAAGCGTTTCTAAACTTGTTTTCAATCAGATTCATAGTGCACGAGGTTTTTGTGCATGCAAAGTATGACTTTTATACTTTGTCTCATTTTGTTGACCATAGAGGAATTTCCAAAGATCCTAGGATGGATTAGTCTTCAGACTTGATATATTGTGATAGGACCATTCAAATTATAGTTTACTAGTTGCGTATGGTTTTAGGACGATTCTCATCAGACTGTATATCTTTTAGTTAGGTGGGTTGTGACTTTTGATCACTGTACACTTACAGTAAACACATTAGCATTTAACTCTTTTTCATCAAAATTCTAGGATTGATCGTCTTGTCCTTAAAATAAAGGAAAGTTAGCATTTACTCTTTCAGAAACACTTATTATTGGTTAAATTTCATTTGAGTTCCGCTAGACAATGAGTGGGCCCATGCCACGTTATTTAGCGAGACCAACATAAAATTCACCTAATAATAGTGTTCTAAGAGTGTGAATTACCTTGTTGCTAGAATTTTTCAACAATACATTGAAAGATGCTATGATTTGTTAAACACTTGGGTGATAATACCCTTGTTTCACGACTATGTAATATTATTTAGTTATAAATGTTGCTAGCTGCAACTTCGTTTTATGTGCAGAAAATTGGTCTTCTTGTTCGAGTGGCTGCCGAGACAACTGAATCGGTTTATAAGTTTCTACGACATCAATTGGCTCCCTTGGAGCCAATGATAGGGACGCCACCATACAAATAAAGCGAAGTTATTTCATGAAATAATTGTATTGGTTTTAATTGCAGACATGCATGTATTATAGTTTTACATTCCTTTTATTCATGCATATTATATTTCTAGTTATCAAACTGCCATATATTAAGGACAGATTTTGAATTTCACTTTAGGAAGGATCAAACTTTTCTTATTTTCCTGCCATAAGTTGTTGCTGGGAAACTTGCAACTCCCAACTTTCTTTTTCTTCTTGGGGTTATGGCATATTTTTACATTGAAAAACCCTAATTTAAGAAAATTTTTAGGTGTCATTATGCTTGGTAAAATTAACAAAATATAATTGAGACATGAAGTGAATCGTATGGATGTCATGGAACTGAATTTGGAGTGAATTTTTATTTATTTATATTTTTGTCTGAATCTTGTGGTAACGTTTGGTAGACATTAGAGTGAGACAAAGCATAACTTGATTTTCTTTTATAACCATGTTATCATAGTAACTACCAAGTATTTATGACTTTGAAAATATTAATTTCCGCAATAGAATTTGGTTGGTCACTTCTAATGGGGTTTCCTAATTACGTTATTTTCCCATTAATATGAATTTTCGTTCATGTTTGGTGCATTTAAAGAAAACACACGATGTTACAGTTTAAGAAATCACTTCGAAGTATTGAGCGTTAAGTAAATACTAAATAAGTTCTTTGAGTGTTAAACAAGTTTTTAAATTCAACTATTTGGTGTAACTTTAGTCAATTGATTTTTTAAATTTTGGATTAATGTTATTGTTATTTTGCTCTTTCAAGGATTTTATATTATTACGAATCTATGAATATGATGAAAACGTTTAGAGGTAAGAACTAAAGAAAGAATAAGTTTTGAGGCCAATAAAGTCCGGTTGAAGGCAAATAGTTTGTCCCTTACGTATGACCGTGTGGAAAAAGTTGTTAGGAGAGAAACGTATTCTACATTTTCTGTCACATTGAGGATATCCATGCTTATTTTGAAACAATAGAAAGTGGGACAAATAAACATGCAGCAACTGTAAGAAGGAAAAAAGTGGCAAGGTTGCAATTGTTAGGGGGGAGGAAGCATGAAACAGAACATGAGACCCACTGTTTTTTAATCCATTCACTTTAAGACGGAATTAAGAGAGTTGGTTATGTATCCCTAAAAGACTAAATTACTCTTATTTTATATAATTTTTTTCTTATTAAAAATATGTCATAGTGTTGTATTACTATTTGGGAAGCGTTCAGAATCGCATTTCCGAGAGTACTATAACTAGGATGTTGTTCTCGAAAACATGTTTGGCTATATTTTAGTAGTTTTTTTGGAATATTTTCAAAACTTGTGATAATTGAAAGAAAAAAAATTAGAAAAAGAAATTGCCTTTGAGTCTAAATCCTTTATTTTTTAATTATAACAAATCTTATGAACAAAAGTTATAACCTTTTTTGATATTTATGTTAATGATGAATTTACTTACTATATTCAGAATATCAATTAAAGTAAACTTAAGATTGATTTAACGCGATTTTTAAAATGTAGAACTCATAATGGCTTAGAAGACATGTCTCAAGTATATAATGAAAATCTTTAAAAGAATATCAAGATTATTAGTATGACGGTATAAAATTTAGTATGCAATCTTTTTTACTCTATATTCTTACTTGTTGGAATTTTGTTATTGTTTTGTATATCTTTATTGCATAATTTGTCATCATTTTAAACTGTTGAAAAGATAGTTTATAAAGAAACTAAGTTTTTGAATACTCAAAAAGTTCACCTTCCAAAAGATAGATTTTTGCATAAAGAACAAGGTTTTATAAAGGAACTTGTTTATTTAATATTATTATATTTATCATTATATTGTTACATAATCTATTTTACAAACAAGTAAGCTTGGAAACCATTTTCAAGAAAAATATTTTAAGTTTCAATACTTAGAAGATCTAGCTTTAACATCTAGAAGATATACCTTATGAGTAACAAATTTTTATAAAAAAAATAAATTTTTAAAAAGTATAACAATTCAATCCTCTTTTTGTACGCTAATACTCACATAAAAGTATCACATTCTCACTCTCAACATGAGAATAAAAAAGTATGAAACATGATAAGAAAGCATTCTTAGAACAATTCTTATATGAATAATTTTTCAAAATTCGTAACAAAATTTAGAATATTAGATTTTCATGTTCACATTCATGGGAACCAATTTTTAATCATTGAAACAAACGTCTATTAATATTTCAAAAGGTTCAAAAGGAACTACCACTCATAAAGCAATCTTTTAACCCATTGAGTCGGCTTCATAATGAGAGTTAAAATAGTTTATACAAGATCATGGGTTTTGTTATGAGGTGAGGGAGAAAAGTGCCTCTAATGAATTTACATGAAGGCGATTGTGGTGTCTCTATTGGTCTCGATCATTTTTAGTTGCAGAAAAGAAAGTAATAAGAAAAAGTAAAATAAATTTTTGCATAAGTTAAAAATTAACTTTCAGAGAAATAATCTGAAAATTTTATGTATAAAATTGACTTGTATATAAACTAGTTTTAATGTTTAGAGAAATCAACTTTTTTTATTTTTTATTTTTTCTTCTAAAAGTACTTATGAAATATTTATTCTAGCAAGCCTTATGTTTATGGAATTGAAAGGTGCCCAAAATTTATAATGAAGATTCAATGAATATTAAACTTTTTCAAGTTATGCGTAACAGCTACGAAACTAATTTAAATTTAAAAATTCCATGCATGTATTTTGATAAGTAAAACATGTTTTGCTTTATTGACAATCTTTGTATTGTGTACCTGCCTAAAGGTATACTAGTAATCTTATATTCTGAAAGTCAAACAAGAATTCCGAGTCACAATGCAAGGGAGAAGTACTTACAAAAAGTACTTTAATGCTTAAGTCAGGATAAACACGAATATCAATAATAATAATAAATAAACAATAATCATACCTTATTTTGTGTGACTATTTATACTAACCATAATGGGTCCCATACGTGGTGGGCGTCAGTTCCATAATCTACCAAATTAGGTAATATGGTGATTGATAATTGATTATCTCTTAATCTTGTGTTGTCCTTATTAATTGTGATTATCATGCTACTCATGTCGTGGTCTCGACCCTTTCGGCCATTGGTTGAGCCGAGAGGTACAAGCTATCGATAAAGCTCCCTTCTAATAACATACTTGGGCAGGCGAGGTTGTGCTTTTAGCCCTTGGTTGCCGACAAAGCCAGCACAACCTTAACGATTGAAAAATCGTCAACATACGCTTCCTTCAACCATATCGACTGCCGATATGACCGAGGCCGCGTGATCAAGAGGTTGACATTAAGGTCGCTACAGTCTCGACTATATCGACAGCCAATATGGCTGAGACGACGTAGCCGAATGCCTCACGCCAAAGTGAGGTGAGTTAGCTAATGACGTATAGCGTGCCACATGTCGTAACACATGATTATTCCTCCCGATACATATTGTCTTTGGCACATTATAAGAAGAAAAAAAACGAAGTAGTTGACCAAAATAAAACCTTGCTGACTCTTTAAGATGTTGATCGACAGTGCAGAAAAGTTTATCTGGATAGAGAAAGTGTGCTTTTCTTTCCATATATTGAATTTTAGCTGTAAAAATAACAATATTTTTGTCAACATGTACAAATATTTTTTCATAGATTTACATTTACATCTAACCTTTATGCTTACAATCAAGTGCTTTATGTAAAATTGAGATAAGTTGTTCTACTCCTAGTTCAACAATGTCTACATTTGGAAGATGAAGACCTAGAGTATATTCTTCTTCAGTAAAGTCCACTTTCCTCAAAGTTGCTTTGTAACTCATAGCAGCTGATATTGGGTGAACTCTGGCAATTGAAACCTGTAAAACAATAAATAAGTTTAAGGTATATAAGTTAAAAATGATGGGGGAAAGCCCTACACAATAATAACAACTAATTGAGAGAAAGTAAATTATGCATCGGAAATTATATTCCCCTATTTGCAAGAATATGTGAAGAGCACCAACAAAATAGAGCAAGATAGATAACCCAAATGCACAAAAGACAAATATTTAGGTTAAAAATCACGAGTAGTCCAAACCAAAGAAAAACTCCACTATGATCAACAAAGGGTACAAGAAAGTCTCTAATGAACGCATCAAACAGTGCTTACAATCAATTGAAGCAAAACCAATCACAATTGCTTATAATTGAGAAATAAGAAGATGAAAAACCTAAAAACAAAATTGTTGTTATTACGAGATGTTTTTCTCTCACTCTAGACTTCTTTTTAACGATTTAATCGTTGAATATGAAATGCCACATCTTATGAACCTGCTGTTCAAAAATCAGTATGATCCAACGGTAAACAAATCTCCAGTCACAATTCAAGAAATATTATTCGGTGGATATACGACCTATAACTTTATCTCTTCTTTCCTCTTTATATTTTGCTGTTATTTTCTCAAATTGAGTCACTCTTTCTACCCTAATCTGACCCCTCTCCACTTGATTGAATGAGACATGATGAACTTATACAACTTGAACTTATTCTTCACATAAGAAGAGAGTCCAAAACCTAATAATAAAAAAACTAGATGCATGAATTCATAACCATGAGAGATAGACCTACAAGTTACTGTTAGCCGTTAGAAATGTAATACATTTACATGTTTTTAGTATGTTTGGATAAACTTATCAAGAAGAATTTTTTTTTAAAAAAAATAGGAAGAAAATTTTAAAGAAATTTTTTAATAAACTAAAATTAACTTATATATAAGCTAAAGATAAGATTTTATAAAAGTTAATAGGAGAAAACTTCTACAAATTAGTTTGTGCATAAATTAATTTTAGTTTATAGAAAAATTCATTTTATTTTTTTCTTTTATAAGTGCTTATTGAGAAATTTATGCAAACATATATTTTATCTCATAGCTCAAGTTTTAAGAATATGTTATTGTAGCCTAAATACTCCTCATACTGACATAGGGAATCCTCCTCCTTTGAGTTAGCTTTTGTTATTCAGCACTTATACCAATTTTAATTCCAGCAATATGGGTATCCTTGCAATAGAAATCTAGTTGTAGAACTATATGATCCATCCTTTAGCAGAAACGAAAACCTCGGAATTATTGCTACGCACGCCAGTTTTTTTCATTTGCATATGACCAACACCATGTTAGTTCCCTTTAAGTTTACTCAAGGGCAAGGAAATGAAATTGTAAGCCTCACAAAATGTAAGAGAATACCAGATTTTAACTACATGGATACAAAAGGAATGACTTGTTTTTCAGAAAAAAAACTTACACAAATATGGAATCTCTCATGTGATTGAAAAGGGGCATTTATTATTTGGTCAATATCATTCAACACCCCCTTCCCCCTCATCTCCTTTGCATCACATTCATCCACATAGTTAAAAAATCTGGTATTCATTTTTATTTCTCCCAACAATAAAGGTACACACGGGGATTTCTAGTCATAATTGTCAAAGTATATTAGAAGTTCACGAGGAACTTACACAATGTCTATCGTCAAGTTCAAACTGCCAAAATCTCCACTCTGTCATAACCTTCCCATCCACTTTCACTGATATATTAGTCCATCTCGTATGAGAAAATTCCACTTTATTTAACCCTTCAGTCAGTCCACTCCCTATAGCTTTAACATATGCTTCTTTTAAGCTCCAATATCTGCAAAGTAAAAGCACCTTTGACTTACAGCATGGTCTATCTTCATTTCAAAAAACCATTTTACATTTACAAAGAATTTTACTTATTTGACATATTAAAATCCTTTATCTGATCTGACACTATCATTGAACACTTTCAGACACTATCTTATGCTCTATATTACATAGCAACAATATCTTCAGGTTTGTTCTTTGCCAAATTATGTGATATACTGATAACAATTAAATTGAGAAGGAGCATAAAACCATAGCTTAAAATTATTGGGATTTTAGATTGAGGGGATGAACATGACTGCTATCTGGAATGAAGCTAGGAAAGCACAGTAAAGGCTTTAGCTGATGTCATTTGTTGAGCTGCCTTCACTTAAAGAGTGCACTGATATCAATTCTTGAAAAATGCTACGCAAGCAATTTATTATTCATTATTCATATATTCTATTTGGCTGTTGGAGTGTTTGGTGTGAATGAAGAGTTCTATATTGGATAAGAAAAGGCAAGTTAAACAATATATAAGTGGCAAGGTCCTATACGCCTAAAATGCCTTTTAAGGTTTTTGGTTTAATGTGGTGTCCGGTTCACCATAGTTGTATCATTTTCTCTTGGTAATTGATGGAGATTTTCCTGTGTTTAAGCTCCCCCTCACATCCCAACATTGGTTTCTTTAAACAAAAATGACAATACCAAGTCTTTTTTCCACATGCATGTTGCCAACTATCAAGAAGTTCAATTAAGAAATATATGCAGAATTAAGAGGAATTAATTTTATTTATCTAATGAAAAAAGAAGTTTTATTAGAGAGAATAGATGCAAAATATAACTAGGGAGAGGATTAGAGTATTAGTCACATTCCAATGCATGAAATACAAAAAACAGCTAGAAGCAAGAAAATCTCAACAATGAAGCAGAGGTGCCCACTCTCTCTGCATGCTGGAACAGAAACATTGAGAGGAATTAAATCTATTTTACAAGAAATATTTCCAATTGAACTATTCCTTCACAGTTGATAAAAAAAAAATACCCTGGTACAGTATAATCATATCATACCTGTAAAATTCAATTAGTACATCATCAGAAGTGCCAGCATTGACTATGTTATCCCATTCGAAACTTGAAAAGTATGATGAGAAGAATTTAATGAATTCTGTAATTGTTTCTCCCTGTGGAACATCATAGGAGACAATGTCTAATCCCACAAGACATACAGGTTCAGATGCTATGGCCACATAGTCACCGTGATGGGATACATTGAAATTAAAATTTGGGAATCTAAGACCACATTTATCATAGTCCTGAAGGAGATAAACAAATAAATAAGGCACCACAAAATAACATGAATACAGGACTTGAGAAACAAACATTGAGTTTGTTATTCAACACGTAAATATTACAAATTTTATTATTTTGATTATTATTTTCATCTTTATACATATGGGTGTATGCGTGCATGCACCAAAAGATATCATCATCCGCACCAAAAGATATCATCATCCGACAACCAAAAAACTAATTCCATTTGAGATATACACCGCAGAGGTCATCAGAGTGTGTTTTCTTCTCCTAACAAAGCCTATTTCATACACATAAGCAAAGTTTTAAATAGCAGTCATGGTTTCATCACAATCCTTCTTATTATCAGAAATTGCAGACAAATGCAACTGATGCAGAGACAATTGTAGTCAAAGAGAACCCAAAAACCTTGATATTACAGTCACAGAATGGTTCTAGACTTTTAACAAAACTTGAGTACAATTTCTTATATATGATTACTTTATTTTTTTAATCAGAATTAAAATTTAACTTTAATAATATGCATTTACTTTTAATGCAGATCTTAGTAATATATGATTAAGCATATTACCAAGGTTAAACATCAATTATAAATGAAGAACTAATACTAACCACACTTAAAAAAGTGTACCTAAATTTTGTCTTTTTTTAAAACCTTGCACATGAGCATGACCAAGAGACTTAAATATCTATCAGTTGTACCGATCATTGTTGTATTATTACTCATATTTGAATGCTACAGGAAACAATCATACCAAATATGGTTTGCCTTCCAAAGTTCGTTTTATGAGAATGTCAGTAAAAGGGATTTGCAACACCTCATGGACAAGAGCGTACTGAAGCATGCGGCTGACAAGTGCACGTTTCCTGTCTTCCATTTTAACAAACCTACCAATGCGCAACAAGTCAAGGGATCCATCAAAACCCATTTGTATAAGTTTCTGAACTGAACAACAACCTATGTCAAAAGTCAAAACCACTTGATTTCACCTAAAGTGACTGCTAAAACTTCATCATTATATACCATAAACGGGTCAAAATTTCAGACACAAATTTTCTTCATACAATTTAGGGAGACACCAATCAGACCTTTCAGGGTACATTTGAAAATCAAGTTCAAAGAAGGAAAAACAAATAATTTTTTTAAGTTTAGAAAATTATAAAATATTCATAAAAAACAAACAAAAGACAGCCAAATTATATTTATATTGAGAATAGTAGATAAAGTGACAACCTAAAGTTCATATTATTCAATAATGAGCTGTCACGTAGGATAATTTTTTTCACTTTTATAATGATTAACTTAAAATTCATATCAAGGATGATTTTTTTATTAAAATTCATTTTTATCTGTTTTTCTGGTCCTCCCTTGGGTATCTCCCAAGTCCCAACCAACTAGAATAGAGATTAATTCTACTTAGGATACTTTGATTATTGATAATCTGAAAAGTTTTTACACATGACTGAGATCGAACTATTCTCTACTAAATAATCATTTGTACAACGTAGAAGAATATGATAGCTAACTACTACACCTAACCACTACGCCTAACCGCTAAGGCTAATTCATTTTGATCAATTAAACTCTTATCAACCCATCATTTTTTTTTATCAAATAAAAGTGGTGACACCAATGTAATTAATCAAAATCTAATATAATAGTGAAAGAGAGTGGTTGGAATTACGAAAGTGAATTGGATAAAGAGAACCTGGTAACAGAGGAGTGGTGTTGGAAAGGAAGAAGGGAGAGAAGGAAGGAGAAGTGAGAGGGGTGTGGGTCCCACTTTGATATGTCCACCACCCATCTCCTCACGCCTTCTTCCATTCTCAACTCATATAACCAAAACCAACAAAGGTAGCTTCTACTTCCAACTTGTATGTTAATCGCTCAACAAAACCTCATTTTTCACGCTTTTTCTGTGCCTTGCCAGCCGGCTTATATGACGAAGCACTTCCAAAAATTAAAATAGTGGGGAAGAGGCACCATGTATTTATTTAAAAATAAAATAAAATAAAACAAAAATATGTGCAGTTTTTAGATTAATAAAAAAGAAAAGGTTGCTGTTTTCTCTGATAAATGTCTCACATTAAAGTGTGATAAAAATCTATTTAAAAGTGAAAAGAGTTTTAGGGTAAATTTGTCTAAAAATAAAATATAGGACAAGAGAAATTCTAAAATTATGTATCTCCTTTATAACATATATAAATGTTTCGAAAGAAGTAAATCCAATTCTTGCTGGTTTAACCATCAAGTACTGAGAATTGAAACAATGATAATATGCATATGATGTTAACTTCAAACTATGTTGTGCTTATAATTAATTGACTTATTAAAAAAATACTTTAGTTTGTTAAGTAGTACTTTTTTCATTGATATTATTTATACTAGTGGAAAAAAACACATTGAATCTCTCTTATTAAAAAAAAAGTAGTTAATTTAAAAGTGTATCTCTCGTTTAAAAAGTTAAAATTAAAAAAAAAAATTGTAGAGTAAAGTACTTATTTAAAATTGGATCCGAAATATGTCTACGAAAAAAACCTATAATAGTTATAGATTAAAAAAATGAGTATTTTTTTTCTTTAAATTTTAAGAAATATTATAAACCTATTTTAAAATAAATCATTTTTATTTCTTTTTTATTTTTCATTTGTTACGAAATCTATTAATGAGACATCTAGTTTTTCCTGCAAATGAATATATCTATATTATTAATGAAAAATATTTGTTTTAATTAGGTGTAATATCATTAAATATAATTATTATTTAAATTATTATATTATTAATAATTTATTTTAAAATATTAAATCTAATTTAAAAATAAATATGAAAATATAAATTGAAATAGATGAAAAAATATTTAAAAATCATCAATTAAAAAAATCTTTAAAAATTATCACTTAAAATAATTATTCTCACTTTTAGCACATCACGGCAAATTAAAAGCTTATAAATTTTTTAAAAACTAGAAGTAAATACAACTTTTAGGGTTTGATTCAAAATAAAGGAGAAGTAGGAGGAAAGGAGAGGAGAGAGACTACAAACTTGTTTATTTGAGAGGAGGGGAGGGGATGGGTTTTAATATAGGAGAGGGAAGACAACTTTTTTATTGTTGTCGAAACCTAAAAAAGTTTCGATCTTATTCACAAATGGTTTAGACCTCTGGTTTGAAAATCTCATCAATTTCAAAATGTCTAAAGACCGGACTAATCTTCCGACTAATGGTTTTGAAAAAGAGTTTGAAGGAGTCACCACCGATATTTTACACAAAACATCAGAAAAAGAAAAGGATTTCAAAAATGCTATTTTTTAGCTTTCATAGCCAAAGTCAGATTCGGGAATCGGTCACGTGTGGGGACAGTATTAGGTATCCCACGACGCCCAAACTTGGTACCTTATAACAAATTTGGTATAATAATGACGTGATTAAATTTATACCCCTTTTATTTTATTATATATACAACGATTTACATTATCCCTAATTTACAACATGCGTATTACTACATTGTCTACATGATGTCCAATCTATTGCATGCAAGTAAAGCTATAAATAAAACAAATAAAGAGAAGGAAAAAGGAAGAGAAAAATTTTAGAACCTCAGAAGTAAGCTTTTATAAATTTCTTCACAAATTTGTACAAAGGTGTTTTTTTGGCAACCTGTCGTTCTACAAAGACCTCACTATCACTTAGAAATTTCAGAGAAGGGAGAAGAATTTTTTTCGTATTGGTGTGTGTTAGGGAATGAGCCCTAGGCACGCTTTTATAGGCACCCAAGGAAGGGAAGGGTCATTCCCAACCTTGGAATGACCAAAATGCACTGAAAATTTCATTGAGAACGACTGTTCCAAATGTGGGAACGATCGTTCTAATCCTAAATTAGGGTTTTCGTGCTAAGGTGTTTTCTGAACAAGTGGACATCCAAACCTATGGGCCATAAAAAGATTTGTGTTTTCTAAGGCCAATAAGCCTATCATGACTTTAGCTAATTACACCTCTCCAAAAAAATTAATTACACCCTTAAGTAAAAATAATATAAGGACAAAAGTAGCTACACTAATTGACCCAAAATACAAGGCAAAAAAATATCCTAATACAATCACTACTAAAATGAATTACAAAAAATGTATAACAACTATAAAAGCCCTCTAAGATAGGATAGGCCTCCAAAGGTAGGGTACCTTACAAAATAAAGGTAAGTGCCCTATTATTATTCAAACCAACTTTATCATCCTTCACCTTTCTTGGTCTTATCTCTTCCAAAGGGATCCTTGGGAAGTAGGTTTCCATATCATCCCCTATCTTTAAAACTTTAATCATCTCAAAAAAACAATTTCTCACCAAACCTCTCCCATGAACTCAAACACAAATATCTCTTTTTCCATCAAAACTTAGAACAAGCAATCTTGTATCAAAAAAAAAAACTCATTCATCATTTCCTTTGAATGTTTACGCTTAACCATGTATTTCCAACTACTTCATTTGACTGGGTTGGCTAGGGACTCTGCCTTTCATCTACACAATCACTAGTGGAAAAAGGAGCTACTACGTCTCTTCATTTACGTTGAAAACTAGCACACCCGACGTTGTAAAAACGCGGTAGCAGTTCTGTAAATAAGAGGAGGAAATTTACGTCGGACCCATCTTCGTCCGACGTAAATAACTCCTTAAATAAAGAGCGCGCACTACATATTTCAAATCATGGCATTCTTCTTCATCTTCACGTTCTCCCGCGCGTTGTGGATTCTTCCTCATCCCTCCGCCTCCTCCTCAAATCGTGGTTGTCTTCCTCATCTTCACGTTTTTCTGTTTTTCTTCTTCGGAGTTGCGTTGTTTCTTCTTCGCGTGTTGATGGAAATGGCTTAACCATACATCCATATGTTTTTCTATGAGGTAGTGACCACTCCTTAACCGATGTTTGTGTTTTCTGGGATGTATTTTTCGTAATAATGTTTGTGTTGCATTTCGTGTTTGTGAAGCTGCAGAAGGAAGTGACCACTGCCTGGGTCTATCAAGCAGAACGGGCCGTTCTGCTTGGAGAACGGCCTGTTCTGCTTGCACTCGTTTTTTTTATTTTAATTTTCATGACTTTTTTACGTCGAACCTTGGCATGTCCGACATAAATTTACGTCGGTTTTTGACCCCCAACGTAAATTTTACGTCTCCCGTATTGACGTCTGATGCTTTTCCGACGTAAAAGGCTTCAAATACCCGACGTAAAAGGGGTCTTTTGTACTAGTGAATTCCTATCACCAACTTTATGATAACAACTTGAGTCTTTGACCAACTCAGTCTAATGAGTATGTTGTCAATCATTGTTATCCATTATCATTTGCTTCTTCACCATCATCCACTCTACCTTTCCCCCACTCATAATTGAAGAGGACTGCGACAAGGTGATCATCGGTCTTTACTAAGTTTTGCACTACAAGCTAAGGAGGCAAGCACGTACTAAAAGGAAGTTCGATAAGTTATTGTCTTGCCTCAACCTTGACTTGAGCTCTAATGTGGAGGATGCCTTGGACTAACTTTTGCTGGTGCCAAAAGGGGGAGAGTGATTAAAACTTTTTCTTTTTCTACTTTGATTTATTTTTGAAGTTTTTAATTTATGAAGTTTTATTTTTGTAGTTTCAAGTAGTTGTTTTAGCTCTGATTGATTCTATTTTCTTCTAAACAACATGCTCTGCATAGTTTACATTATATTTGTTCTATATTATACAAGCTATATTCATCAGATCATGCATGTTTTTAGGGGAAGTAGAAATACATGCTCTAATTTATAACATATGCTATAATTTACAACATATGCTTTAATATATCTCAACATATTTGTATGCTTAATGAAGAGATAAAACAAGCATGCTATGTTATAATGATCCCATCTACTATGATATATTTTAATATGCTCCAATATAATTCAATATATTATGATCTGATACACTATGATATGCTTAATAAGAAAAAGATAAAACAAGCATGTCATGCTATATCTATCTTATATGCTTTGTTTTAGCTCTAAAATATGAAGAATATTTCACATATAATTTATCACTCTAATTTAGTTCTAAAATGTGAAGACTAAGTCTCATAGAATATGTCTGTTTATTGTAATGCCCCAATTTTCTTAATTCATATTAATGATATCACTACAAAAAAATATGCAATTTAGCAACCACCAAAATCGGTCGCTAAATTGCTAAAATCAGTCGCTATTTACATTAACGATCGAATTTAATCAGTTGCTAAAACCCTGGTCGTTAAGCTATTTAACGACGAAAAAATTTCGGTTGCTAATTCGGTCGCAAAATGGTTGCAATGATTTTGGTCGCTGAAGTGTATGGGACCAAATTAGTGACCGAATAAATCGGTCGCTAAATATTTATTTATTTATTATTAAATTTTATACACGTCGCAAATTTGGTCACTACGAACCACTCATATTTGGCCTCTTAAGGATTTTATTTCACAATACTTAACTTTTTAGCATGTTTTGTCCTTAATTACACAATTTTTGGAAACTTCCCAAAATGTCACTTATCCTTATATTACTCCAAGTCAAGCATGCTTAACTGTGAAGTTTTTATGAGATAAGCTATCGAAAAGCATATACATGTTGTTAGTATAAGTAGTACAAATTAATTCATTTAAGTCATCCTCAACTATACAATCTCATACTTATATTATCTTTGGATCCTTATCATTTTGGTGTATCCGGACCGTTATAAATATATAATAATATATAATAATTATATTACTAATAATAATAATTATATTATATTTAATTAATCTTTATTTATATATATACTTACTTTTATAATTAACAATCTACTTATTTCTGTTTAAAATTAATTTAAAATAATTAATTTTATCACACAACAATAAAGAAATACTAATAGTTAAGAAAATACATTTATACTCTTCCTATTAGAAAAAGAGAGGATGTTATAATT